AAATTTTCACGCCCCTGTGCATGAAAATTGTTCTTTTTCTCGTGCGTACATACTCCACACACGATCCCTCTAAACAGTTTCTTTTTTGCAAAACATAACATATACTAGAGTTGGAGGTGGGATAGTTTTTTGTGGTGGTTGCACAAAAGTACCTGCAGTAGGCTCGTGCGTCTGTTACAGAAGAACGGGGGGCGGTCCATCATCACCAGCTAGAGAGGGGGGTGGTATCCATCATCATTCGCTAGAGGGGGGATGGTATCCATCATCAGCTAGCGAGGGGGGTGGTATCCATCATCATTTGCTAGAGGGGGGGTGGTGTCCATAATCAGCTAGCGAGGGGGGTGCTACCCATCGTCAGCCGTGAGGGGGGGGTGCTATCATCAGAGGGGGGGAGTGTCATCCATCGTCATCAGCTGAGAAAAAAAAACATACGTTGAAAAATTCCCCGGCGACTGGTGGTGCTGCTGCTGCTGATTGTTTGAACAGGACGCTTCCGCCACCGCTTTAGATAACAGCAACAGCAGCAGCAGCAGAGGCGACACACCCTCTCGCCCACAATGAGTGTAGAGAGGTGCACAGCACAGCAGTGGTACTACATCGTCTAGGAACGAGCGTGATGTGTTACTGGTCCCGTGCTGTGATGTATGTGTGCCTCTCTCCAGAGCAGAGTCAGAGGCCGCTCCCTCCCGCCGCGTCGCAACACAATAACAACAACCAACCGATGGACCCACAGAGACCCAATCAATATCTCTCCTCTCGCTTCCTCCGCCGAAAGCTAGCAGCAGCAGTAGTATAGGGCACACCCTGCTCCCGTCCCGCTCTCGCTGTGTGGTGTGTGCAACACACGCTGGTTGGTGGGACTCCCTCTCTCTCCAGAGAACAAAAGGCGAAAAGGTCGGCAGCGTTGTTGAACAACAACAAACATTGGAAACAACAACAACAACATCATCAGCGATGAACCCCAGACCAACCAAACGTTCCCCGCTTCCTCCGCCGTCGCCAACAGCAGTATGTGTGTGTGTCCCGCCCCCCTTGTCCATGTTCCCTGTCTCTGTGTAGTGCGTGTCTTGCCAGTAGCAGCAGCAATGTGTGCAGCACGGCGGCAGTGCGTCGTGGTTTCTTCTTGCGTGCGTGTAGCGTGTAGTTTGTTGCCCAGAGAAAAACAAAAATGACGACGCCTCCCGGGGATGCGTCCATGTGACATATATATTTGCACAAACGGTGTGCTATCTCGAGACACCGACCACGGATTGCAAAGGTAGCGGTTGGGACAGCTCGGGCAAAATGTTACTTGTTGTGCGCAAGTTTTAGTTTGCAATTTGGTGCCGAGATGGTGAAATGGGCTCGAGTCTGCTGGTTATTTAGGGCGCGCAGACAGACACTCGACAGACACCCGACAGACAGACAGCCGTGGCTAAATTTTCACGCCCCTGTGCATGAAAATTGTTCTTTTTCTCGTGCGCGCATACTCCCCACACGATCCCTCTAAGGCCCATGTTTATGGTCACCAAATCTTTGAAAANACTCGACAGACACCCGACAGACAGACAGCCGTGGCTAAATTTTCACGCCCCTGTGCATGAAAATTGTTCTTTTTCTCGTGCGCACATACTCCCCACACGATCCCTCTAAGGCCCATGTTTATGGTCACCAAATCTTTGAAAAAATGTCTAAATTTTCAAACAGTAACTAGTTGCGGATAAAGATTTTGTTTCACTTTTTATGGGAGAAAATCTTCGGCAAAATATTCTCAAAGAGTTTGAAATGGGGCAAAAGTCGCTCGGTTGACAAAATGTTTGACAAACATTTCGAAATGGGGCAGGTCGCGAAAATGTTTGGGCGGCGGAAAAGGCAAGTAGCGCCGCGTTTTCGGCACATACGCCGCCAACGCACACAAACACCCCCAACAACACAAGAACACACGAACACATCGACACACACACTCACGAGAAGGCCGCGCCGACGAGAAGGCCACGGCCAACATGGATGAGGAGTCCTTAATGGCCGGGGCTGCTGCCGCAGCATCGAGTGTGCAGAACATTATGCACACGTTCGACTCCGATGGTGAGCATGATGACCAAGAACC